GGGATTAGCAGATACAATCTACTACATGCAAAATAGATAAACAAGGTCCTAACATATATAGCATTGGGAACTATATTCAATAGCTTGTAATAACCTATAATGGAAAGAGTATATATATATATATATGTATAACTGAATGACTATGCTGCCCATCAGAAAATAACTCGATGTTGTAAATTAACTATACTTCAATTTAAAAAAAAAAGAAGGGCGTGATACAGCTCATGGTAGAGGGGTTCAATTCCCAGTACCTCCATTAAATAAACAAACAAACAAACAAACAAACAAAAAACGTAATTACCTCCCCCTCCTGAAAAAAAAACAAAACAAACAAATAAAAAGAAGATATGAATGACCGAACAGCCCTAAAAAAATTATTCTTTGAGCTAAAGAGAAATCTGCTTAGGAGAGAGACCAGCCACTTCTCCTGACCCCACAGGGATAGATAAGGCTTTTCCGTTTTCCTGTCCCTCAGGATTTAGACCAACTGAGGTTCAAACACCAATTCCTCCTGCTTGTTATGAAACTTTAAGCAAATCACTTTGGTTTTGAATTTTAGTTTCCTCATCTGTAAAATGGGGGAAGAATCTTCTCTGAGCTGTTTGTGAGGATTAAAGAGATGATATAGATATTGTGGTTATAGACATTCTGCAAAATGCTTTATTTAATTTTTTGTTACTGTAAAAGTAACAGACTTCTAGTCAGAAATAACAAAAGTTTTAAAAAAAGAATAAACCCTAATTAAAGACGTTTGACAAATAAAAAAGGACTTTCTTTTTCCACCATCCAAATATAACTAATATTTTGCTGTGTTTCTTTCTACTCTTTATTCTGCGTAGCTGTGTGTGGGTTTAAATTTTTTTTTATTTACAGTTAAGTTGCAAAATAGTAGTGATTTCCCATATATCACTCAGCTAGTTTCAAATTCCTCTGTTGCTAGCATCTCACATTACCAGGGTGCGTTTGTCAAAACCACATTGCTGCATTACTGCTAACTGAACTGCAGACTTTGTTTCACTTTCATCTGTTTTTCCACTGATGTCCTTTTTCTGGTCCAGAATCCCATCCAGGATTCTATGTTGCATTTAGTCACAGTCTCCTACCTGTGACACTTTCTTAACCTTTCCTTGTTCCATCTTGAGGAGAACTGCTCAGGTATTTTGCCGAATGTCCCTCAATTTGGCTTTTTTTTTGGATATTTTGCTCATGACTAGACTGGCATTATGGATTTTAGGGGAGGATACTACTGAGTTGAAGTGCCCTTCTTGTCACACCCTCTTGGCCGGGGGAGGGGGCACATGACATATCCACATGACTTCTCACTGTGATGTTAATTAAACTTGACTGCTTGGTTAAGGTGCTGTTTCCAGGTTTCACCACAGTAAAGCTGCTGTTTTTCCATCTTCATACTCTGTTCTTTGTAAAGAACCCACAGGATTAACCCAGCCCCACTTCCCAGAGGTAGCAGCATCCAAATAAGTTATTTGGAATTCTCCTGTAAGAAAGAATTGTCTCTTCTCCTCCGTTTACTTCTTTATTCATTTATTTACTTATGTCAGTGAGGACTCACATGTATTTATTTTATATTCTGACTATATTATAAATCTAATACTACATTAGTTATTTTGTTGCTCAGATTGTTCCAGCTTTGGGGGTCCCTCCAGGCTGGCTCCGGGAACCTTTGCTGTGACCCTTTGCTGTGACCCTTTGCCGTGACCCCATTGCTCCCTTCTCTGAGCACTTCCTTACTGCCTGTTGCTACCAAATGCACCAGGTTCATCTTGTCTTTTCCCTGCTCCCGCCCAACAATCAGCCACTTCTCCCAAAATTCCTTTTATTGGAGAATGATGTTTAGAAACGGTGCTCTGGTCGCTGAGAGTGCTCTTGGCCACTGTATTCCCTGTTCTTTTTGTTTGTCTTTTTCTTTCCTTGCATAGACATTTACAGACACCACTGCCTGCTCCATGACCCAGCTGAAATCAGGTCCAGCCCTCACTGACCTTCAGGAAGCTTCTGGGCAGGGGAGGGTATAGCTCAGCGGTAAAGTATATGCTTAGCATGCATGAGGTTCTGGGTTTGATCCCAGCAACTCCATTAAAAATAATAATAATAATTGGAAAAAAAGAAGAAGCTTCTAGGGTACAAACTTCCAGTTGCAAAATAAGTGAGTCACAGGTAAGATATGTACAGTGTGGGAAATATACTCAATAACTGTGCAGTATCTTAGTATGGTGACAGTTCATAATTAGAGTCATCGTGGTGATCATTTTGAAATATATGGAAATATTGAATCACTGTGTTGTGTAACAGAAACTAACATAGTGTCATAGGTCAATTACACATCAAAAAACAATCAAATTCATTGAAAAAGAGATCAGATTTGTGGTTACCAGAGGTGGGAGGGGAGGGGGAATTGGATGAAGGCAGGCAAAAGGCACAAACTTCCAGTTATAAGATAAATAAGTACTAGGGATGTCATGTAGAACATGATAAATATAATTAACACCACTGTATGATAGATATAAAAGTTGTTAAGAGAGAAAACCCTAAGTGTTCTCATCACAAGGAAAAGCTTTTTTTCTATTCTTTGCTTTTGTACCTATATGAGCTGATGGGTGTTCACTAATCTTATTGCAATAATTGCTTCATGATGTGTGGAAGTCAAATCATTATGCTGTCCACCTTAAATTTATACAGCACTGTATGTGAATCATATCTTACTAAAACTGAAAGACAGATGGATAAATAAATAAATACAGCTTTGAAAAAAAATGAGAAGAAGATCCTGGGTGATAACCCTCAACAGAAAATTTCAAATCCTCTGCTTTCACTTGGTCTTTATCTTGTGAGCATTATCCCAAATTCTTGGCACTGAAGTGGACTTTCCAAAATGAGTAGGCAAAAGCCTACTGTGACTGACATGTTGAAACCATTTCCTCACCATTACAATTTACAGTCGTACATTTATCTGTGTAATTATTTGCTTCATTGCACCTCAGCTGTTAGGTGGCTTCTCAAGGGCAGAGACTGTGGTACCTGTCTGCTCTGCCCGCCCCCCTGCCACTGTACCCCCAGCACTTTATGCAGAGCCTGGCACACAGTAGGTGCTCAATGACCAGCATCATTATTGTTGACTTACTGGAGGTATGGATGGAAAATACTTCCTTGGGATGGATTCCTGAAGTGGAATCTCTGAGTTAAATGGTGTGCTTGTTTTTAGAGCCTTTAAGTGTGAGTTTTAGTCCTGTTGAAAAGTGGCTGAGCCTCCACGGGGCCCGATTAGATAAGGAAGAAGAGGGGCATTTACAAGATCTGAGAGTAGCAGGACACAGAGGCACACAGGGGCCCCAAACCCAGGCTGCTAAGCAGAGGAGATGGGATGGAGGGGACATTTCCACATGTTTCCAGAAACATCATCGAGAGTGATTCTCTGGGTTGTCTCTGGAAGCAGGCCCGAGACAACCGTTCACTCCCTTAATCCTCCCTAGAAATAGGCAAGGGACAAGTCCTCTCCACTTTACAGATGAGGAAACTGAAACTCAGAAAAGTGAAAAGACTTGCCTTAGATCATGCAG